CCACGCGGGACTCCAGGTTGTCCATCTGCAGCTGCAGCCGCTTGAGGGTGCGGTCGGCGTCGCGGGACTTGCGCTTGTAGGCGATGAGCACGGCCACGATGACCAGCAGCAGCAGGCCCCCGCCCCCGCCGATGCCCACGATGGCGGGCAGCGTCAGCAGGCTGTCCGAGTACACCTGCAGCATCCCGGGGGAGAACTCGAAGCCGCCGGCCCGCACCTGCAGGGCGGAGGTGCAGGTAGCTCAGAGGCCCCTGCCCAGGGCCCTGAGGGTCCCACCCCACACGGTGACACCTGCCTGCAGGCTGCAGGCGACACCCTGCCAACGGGGACTAGAATGGCAAGAGTGGGGATTCGAGGACCCAGGGACCAGGCTGGGCAGGACCAGGCTGGGCAGGGCTCACAGGTCAAGCGGGTGGCTGGGCGGGCGGACGCACCGTGACCTTGTGCTGGCCTGTGAGGTTGGGCGACTCGCAGAGCAGCTGCGTCTCGGACACGGTGAGGACGCAGGGCGTGGAGCCGATGAGCACCGTGTAGTTGAGCCGGGAGTTGCCGGGCGCGGGGGGCAGCAGGTTCCGGCCCTGCGGGGATCGGGGTGCCACAGCGGCCATCAGAGGGGCCTCTGCTCCCACCCGCACCCTGTACCCCTCCCCGGGGTGCGGGACCCACCTTGAGGATGAGCGGGGAGCTCGGCTTCAGCTCCAGGAGGCCCGTGGGGCTGAGCGGCTCCAGCACGGGGTCCGGGTAGTAGACGAAGGTGGACGAGTTGAGCACCAGCAGCGCGCGCACGTTGTCCATGACGAAGCCCAGCTCGTCCGGCCGCTCCCCCAGCTCCGGGGGGCTGCGCGTGGGGTTGTCCACGGACGGCGCCCGGCACACCATGGTAGTGTCATTGTACACCATGCAGCTCTGGGGACACAGCGCACCGCGATGCAGGGCTGAGGCCAGCTCCCCCAAGACAGAGCCCCATCCAAGGGGCTCCCTGCATGGACCACCCACCATCCAGGGCCACCCTGTGCAGGCTGCCGCCCACCCAGCCACCAACCAGGGCACCGGGGGGGTCTGCAGACGCTGTGGACTCACATTCTCCCTCTCGACACCTCCATACTTGGCCCGGATACGGGGTTCCCGGACCGTGGCCAGATTGGTGCCCGTGACGGTCAGGAGAGTCCCACCACTGGAAGATGAGTGGGAAGCCATCCAATGAGAGACAGGAGGGGCGGCACAGCCCCAGAGGGACAGAGCCCCACTCCCACCCCCCAGGGACACCAAGCCTGTCATCTTCCACCTGTTGATGCTCCACGCAGGATCGATCTTCAGGATGGTGGGGTCCTCGGTGTAATTGTACTTCACGTCGGGGTTGGCCAGCTGGGCGCGGTTGATGTTGATGACCACGGGGGCACTGCCAGGGCTCTGCCCGGGGGGCGTCAGGCAACGGATCTCGCGAGAGTTTCTCCTGGGGGGGGGGCCCGACGGCACCGTGAGGTGGCATCCAGGACAATTCCACAGAGTGTCCTTAAAGATGAGCTCATTCATACCCTCCACTCCCCTGGGCCTCCATCTGCTACCCCCTGCCTCAGGTGACCCCGGCCAGGGATCCACACCCACCAGGACTTTGCCTCTTCTGCAGCCCAGGCAGCCAATGTCCCTGCGTGTGGCTTCAGAGTATTGTCACCACCCCAATGACTCAGACCCTTTCCCTATGAATATCCCTCAATCGGGAAAACGAGGCTTCAGCCCTGCATCCCTGGGTCTGAGGTGACAGGAGCCAGGCTGACATGGAGGTCACTGGCTCACCCGGCAGCCAGTTAGTTGGTACTACCTCCACCTGTCCCCTCAGCTCTGTCACCACCATGGCCCTACCGCGGGCCTGGCTCAGCTGCAAACATCAATGATGAGTCTGATAACGGGTAATTACCACAGGAAAATATTTAAAGGGCCGTTCCATTATCATCTCTAATCTAAAATTATCCACTTCAAGCCTCAGGGCTTTTGTTAAGATGTCTGTTTTCTTTCTTCAAAAAAAAAAAAAAAACCTTTTTAAAATACTTCCTAAGGGAGTCCCCTGTTCCTAGGGAAGGACCCCAGCGGAGGCAGCCAGGTTGTGCCCGCCCCCTGGAGCCAGGCCACGCCCTCCCATCAGCTACCTCTCTCCTCCCTCCTCTCCCCATGCTGGAGGGAGCCCCTGTCTCCATGGTAACCTTCTCCACCTCCGGGTTTCCATAGTGATCACCCCAGCCAGGCTCTCCATACCCTGGTTTCCTTGGCAACGGAAGGGGGCACGGAGACACGGGAACCAGGAGGAGGGACAGCCCTGGCCCCCGACCACCAGTAGAAGAGGTGGGCCATGCCCTGGCCCCCCACTCCCACCTGCACCCCGTACCAGGAGAAGGAACAGGGCCGGCCACCGATGGATACTGCAACATCACTGCCCGCGTTCAGGTGGCTCCCCTCGATGCCAATCCAGGTGCCCCCTGACAGAGGCCCGCGGGAGGGACTCACGCGGTAGAAGGTTGGTGTCTGTAAGAAGATTGACTTGTTAGAGCAAAGTCCCCCACAGGTCCCATAGGGACAGGTCCTGCTCTGCCAACCTGCACTGCCAGCTGTGGCCCTAGCAGCACAGAAGCCCCACAGCTGCGGTCTCAGAAACTGTCCAGGGTGGCCAGAGAAGGCTGGAACCCAAATCAGCACAGGAGGGGAGGGGACAGCCCCTGAGGCTGCAGAATAGGACAGAGCACGGCTGGACCAGGGGACCCCAAGGAGGCCAAGCAGGTGGGCTGTGGCCAGAGCCTGCCCCTGTGCCCAGATGAGGCCCCAGGGCCACCTCCTCGGACAGGCAGGGAGCCAAGCGCCCTATGGGCGGGACTTACCACGAAGGTGAAGCGCTTGGGCGACAGGGCCCGGTAGTGGGGGGAGCAGTCCCTCACGCACACCTCCACCAGGGCGTCGTGGGCGCGCACCGTGCTGGCGTCCCCGATCTCACAGACGATCCTGCGGGCGCAGGCCGGGCCTCAGCAACTGCAGGCCGGGCAGCCCCCCACGCCCGCTGCCCCACCCCGGGCCGCACTCACTGCTCGGCGCTGATGTACTCGCTCTCCACCGGGCTGCACAGCACCTTGCCCACGCGCACGCCCAGCCGCACGTCCTCAAAGCGGAGGCCCAGGTTCTCGCCGGTGATGGTGAGGCGCGTCCCTCCCTGCCTGGGGCCCGTCTCTGGGGACAGCTGCGGGAAGGCAGAGGCTGGGGCACTAGTAGCCACCTCAGGCCCAGTACACCCAGGGACACCGCGCCTGGGCAGGCTCGGTGGCACGAGG